TAAGCAGCATTTCAAGGTGATGATAGCTGCCAAGTTATTTCAAGCAAACAGGAGGCTATTCGGTTTATCTGTTTGAACGTGCCAACAATTAATTTAGTAATCAGCATGTTCTGAAGGGACGATTTGAGAGGGTGACAAGGAGGGCCAGGCCCTCAGTCAGGGTAAATTTGCACTGGCTTGCTGTGTTGCAGCCAGTCCTACGCTGATGGAGGGTTTGGCTCAAGCCCCCATAGGGGGGGCGTGCTGGGGGAGGTGACTTCTCTTACATAAGGACGGTGATGTGCCTCACACACATGCAGATGGTGATGCTTCTCATACCACCCACAGCACAGATGGACTGTCAGTCATCACATTGAAAATCATTCCAATAGTATGCCTACCCTAAGTCCAGCAGGGAAAAATTAAGTGCTCTTTAATCCACTACCCCTACCCTGCCTTATACTGCACAGACACCAGAAGCAAAAATATTGTAGAAATAAGTCTGCTATTTATACAGCTAAGCAGATGAGATACAGCAATAAAAATGCTGAAGTCATACTTTTGTTTAACATACATTAAATGATGTTGTGCTCATAGAGTCCCTTTTACCCAGGGATCTGGAGAGCACAACATCCCGGCTGCACAGATGGACCAACTCCTGCCCTAAAGAGGTTAAAGGCTCAGGTCAAAGCCATTGCTGGCCCACCCACAGTAAATGTGGCTCTGCCTCAGAGCCATCTACACCAACAGCCTGCAGTGTCTTAAAATAAATCATTTCCTAAGTGTCTTAATTTAATTTGGGTCCTGTGATGTTCTGGTGTCTTGGGACAAGCCATCCACCGATCCCAGAGCAGTGGGTGTGCAGAGCCTTAGAGACAGGGGCAAAAAGATGACCTGAAATAGAAGAAAAAGAAATGATAAAATCAATAGATGGCTTTGAAAAATATTTGTCATACATTTACCTTGAGTAACGTATTCAGTTGTTAGAGACCGAGCTGATGAAGCCAAAAAAGGCACTGCGCATTGTTTCTCACTGAAATCTTCTAAGACATGATCTGGTCCCTCCTGCAAACATATTTCCTAAGCTGTCTTTTAAAGGGTTTGTTTTTCCTTTTTATTTTCTTTCCCTCCACAGTAGCTCCTAAAAGTCCCAAGTTAATGCTCTTAAGAATTATTATTTCCTTAAGAAAAGGATCTGCCCGAAAGAATCAGGGAAGGGGAGAGGAAGGAGATGGAAAAACCTCAATTTGAACTCTGCAAAACCAGATATTTTGATTAAATATCCCCAGTCACTTTTTGGAGGTGTTAAAACCCGCACTGGGTGGCCAGTCTGGATTGTAGCTAGCCTGTCACTGCCTGCCTGTAGGGAACTGCATTACCACACAACCTGCAGCTCCTGCCCCAACACCTCATGTGTGCAAGCTGGTAAGTGCTCCATTCCGTCCTTTTTTGTCCTCGTACGTGTCAGTAAGCAGCCCTCCCGCAGCAGCTGGTTGCTCCTTGCACTTTGACTAATTAAAAGGAGATATGGAACTGCAGCCAGAGAAAATCCTCCTAGATGATCCATCTCCGTAAGCACAGCAGCAGCGAGTTCAAGCCCAGCTTGCCATTAGCATCCTGCACTGTCCCCAGAGGGCTTTGGATTTAATCCCAGCTATTTCTCTTCTTCCAGACAGTGGGACCAGTCAGAACCACAGAGCTTAATCTATTTGCTTTAGGACCAAAACCAAATGATGCAATGGTGGAAGGTGCAAGTCTGTTGCACAACCCACTTGTCAAAAGGTGCCCAAATAAGCTTGCCTGAGGAATAAGCTGTTTTGGAAGTACAGTAACCCAGCTCCGGCCCTGCCTTCCTGCGCATGTGAGACGCAGCCTCAGCCCCTGTGCATGGAGAGCCTGCATGCGTTATGGGGTGAAACTTCAAGCAATGCCAGGCAAGCATTCCTTCTGACCAATGAAGTGGCATTGACAGAGAAAAACCCCACTGGGTTTTCTTGAAACATGAAGGCTGGAGGCTGCACGAGAGGATCTTTGTGTGAAGCATGGGAAACAAACAGCCCATAGGATCGGGGGCGAAAAATGGAATAGGCCTGCAGAGTACTGGCAGCAGTTATTAAAAGGAAAGAAAATCCACTATGGGAAGATGCTAGCACTCTAGAGCAGTTCTTGAGGTAGTATAAAGCAGCAACTGTGCCCAACTTATGACAGCTACAGGCTGGGCCACGTACTCTCAGTGCTGCATGCTCCAGCAGAGGAGGAATTCAGGTAGAGCAGTGAGGTGCCGGTACAGGCATTCTTACACTGGGCAGCTGTTGGATGCACACGGCAACATCACCATCGCAACTTGGTGTTCAGCCACCTCAGAATTTGAAAAGGAAAAATCCTTTTATTTTGCTTCCACCTCGTAAAGCACTCATAGCACTGATGAGGAAGACAGAACCCGAATGCAAGTTTTTGGAAAGCACATTTGACTATCTTCTGGAAAAAGGGAGTCTCTGAATGCAAGAGACCTCTTCATGCTAGAGTTAAGAGCTCAGAGGCCCAAATGACACTTCATTTCTCTGTAGCCAATTTTGTTGATTAGAATCATTAGGATACTAGAAGAAAATAGTTAATGTGCTGTAACCAATCTGCAAATGTTAGAAAATCCACCATTATATGAAACTAATTTTAATGAAATGGGATGGTCTACAAATTACAAAGGATTGCTACAAAAGGCATTGAGAAAGGCAGGCAGGAAAGCACACACAGACCAACACCCCGCCCACGGTGAACGGTGGTTAGAAGAACACCAGCAGCTCACACACTCAAAGAAAATTACTTCTGAGAACTGATGCGAAGTGAATGCTGACTAAATTTCAGCCTTCTGAAGGCTCACTCAATACTGACTTTGTAGGGTGCCAACATTACTGCCCTTGCAACAACCAGCAGGAGGATGGCCACTAGCCACAGGGCTACCATTAACTTGAATGGATGTGGGAATGCGAGATTGCTGCAAAACCCTTCCATGAGTGGGGAGCTAATCAGACAGTGAGGTCCTGGGGAGCCACAGGTCCTGGTGGCCTCCCTAAACAGCCCACTCCCACATCTGTCCCGTTTATGAAGTTTTTCTCACTTCGGCTCTGACGTATGAGGCACGCGATGTGCAGCCACGTGGAGACTTTGGGGCACAGCTCTTGCTTCAGCAAGAAGCCCATTTTGTTCTAAGAAAACAACAGCAGGAGTATTCGTGCACCCTGTTAAAATATCAAGGCAAAAATTATTAGTTGGCAAGGCTACAACGGCAAAGCAAACACAGACTTTGGGATTATTATTCCATTTTTTCCCCCTCTTTAAATCATAAACAAAGCGAGACATAATGAAAGTGAATATACAGAAGTAGCACTTGCCTGAAGGTCCAATGTTGTACTGTGGAGTTTCACTCATTTTTCAGTCCTCCTGTTTCTTGTCTGATTTGTTCAGCGATGTTTTTCTCCCCCTTCCCCTAGAACTCATATTAAAATCCTGCCTTGAGATGCTCATCTATCAGCCCATCACTCAGAAAGCAAGCCATTTATCCTACTGTTCAAACACCCATCCAGACCTCAGGAGGACGGTGGGGACGGGGGAGGGAGAGGAGAAGAAAGGGTTTCTCCTGTTGCTTTAATGCTGGTAATAAACTAGAGAGGATGTTAACATCTATTAGGGAAACATCTCGCGCTCCCGCCCCTTTTTTCCTCTCTTCCCCAAGAGCTGTACTTTTGACACAGAGCTGTTTTTCAAAGACAGCGTCATTTAGGGTCTCCACCTAGAGGAGAGCTGTGCAGGATCAGGTCCCAAGTAGCCTGTGTGTTACCCCAGTAATGAAGCCAGATTCCAATCCCAGGGAAAACGAGTGTAAGTCTAAACTGCTCCCCTCACTGGAGGAACAGAGGTGAGAGTGTCATTGGCCCGACCCCTGCCACACGCTCCGTCCAGCCCGATGCCATGGCACTCGCCTACCTGTCCCCTGCCTCGACACTGCTGCCTCCCACCAACATCCAGGAAAACCTGTGCCCAGAACCCAGAAAGCTTCCCTTCGCAACCACCTGCCGATTACTCAGCAAAGCATGTACCTGTTAGCAGCTATTATCAACAGACTATTCTGATCAAACACCAAAAAAAACGGATTGTTTTGAGCGGTTTGCTGTAAGTGCGCTCTCTCCCATCACCTCTTTCAAACAACCCCCTTCCTTTCCCACAGACCTGCACATAACTCACAAAATGAAAACATCTTATAACAGAGTAAATTATTTTATCCGCTCCATCCCTTCTATCTCCCATGTGCTACTCCAGCCTTTCTTTCGCTACTGGGGTGCAGTAAAATATGGTTTTAAACATGAAGCTGACACTGTAGTCTCAGTCTCTTCAGCCAAGATATGAAGAATAAAAAGCTACCCACATAGACATTTTGTCACGGCAACAGATAAATCTATCGCAATAATGATTGACAGATAATAAAAAGCAAAAAAATATCAAGGTCTACAGCAGTTTAATGAAGGCTCGCATACCAAAACCTGAACTCAAAGTTACAGTCAGAGTCATTGAAAAAAATATCTTACAATGAAAAAGCTGATGAGAATTGCCCACTTAGCCATGGAATTAACTGCGGTTTAACACTGTGCTTAAATACTCACCACACAATAGAAACTAATTTAAATCACGACCAAGGTACACACAATTCACTTCCATTCTGTTTTCAATTACATGTATTCAGCACGTAATTTAACCTCTGGAAGTTACTCTGAAGAACACAAGAGGTTTTTTGTGGGGTTTTTTTGTGGGTTTTTTTTGGGTTTTTTGTTTGTTTGGGTTTTTTTTTGTTTTAAACACTCACTGGAAATAAATACCATTTAAAGAATACACTTGGAGTGCAATCAAACAGACACTTAGGCACTGGTACAGTCTAGTCCTCTTCAGCCCTCTGCAAACTACAAGACAAGAAGTTTTAAACCACAGATGGGGTGGAGAGCAGGGCAGAGCTGTACAGGTAGCGCAACAGGTTATGTACTACATAAGAGCACATCTGCAAAAGGTCCCAGGAGATTTTTGTTGAAGATGCAGCGTATCCACACCAGGTATATTGTGAAGGGCTTAATGTTTTCTGAGAAGGTGTGATTCTGATGGGACAATATATAAGGCATGTAAGTGTTTTCCCCTTGCTCTTGTATCCACACTTCATATTTCACTTCTCTGACCTTGAGATATTTCAGGTTCCAGGGGATCTGCCAGGACACGGCAAGTTTAGCTTCGCTCGTGCCCTGGACAGAGGCTTGACACTTGGCATCCCTCACTTTGCCAGGGTAGAGGCTACCAGACCATTTCTGCTTCTTGGGTCCGGGCTTAGACTTCACAGTCTGCCTGATCACGTGGATGAGCGAAGGGATGTTTACCTTCGTGTCCTGGTAGGCACGGAACAGCCACTCGGGGTTGCGGCAGCAGAGGTGCCGCGGCACCTCTGTGCTCTTAATGATGCGCTCTTGCTCAGCTTTGTCCAGATGAGCAATCCCGCCCTGATCCCAAGGCCTGTCCGGGTAGGTGACTGTGTCTTCCCTGTCGGTGTTCTGCCAGGCAACGTACTGCAGGTCCATGCCAGGAAGGGTGGCCAGGGTTTTGTAAGGGGTATAGTGTTCAGGGTTGATAGCATAAGGAAAGAGCTCCACCACCGTGGCACCTCTTGGCAGGAAGAGAGACATGACTAATTGGGCCCCATGCATGCTGACCAGCATGGACGCATTGCTGATCAACCGGACGATGTCAGAAAATGAATGCTCCTCCAGAGAGACGGTAATGGTTTTCATCTGAAACTCCTGAGCGAGAGCTAGGATTAGTTCTGCCTCATTTAGGATGAGTCTGTTGATTGTTCGACTGAACACTACAATGTACTCCTCACTGGAGCTTTCCTCCAAGCTGACGTTCAGCTTCTGCATCATGAATTTGGTGAAATGCCTGATCTCGTTCCCAGAAACCAAGATGTTAGCCTTCGGCCCTTGTGGCTGGACAAATCCATACTGGTACCAGGTGGTGATTTTGGACAGTCCCACGTACGATTTGGTAAAGCAGAGGAGCCTGCCCAGGGTTTTAAGCTGCTCCCTGAGGAGCGGCTGCTTGTTACTCAGTAACTTGTAGAGGTCAAAGTGAACACCCTCACTCCACCCTTCCATGAAGAAGAGTCGTGCCTCCAGATCTAAATCAGAGAACTGCTGCATGGTGTAATAAATGGGGAGGAGGTCGTCATGAAAGACGTGCATCAGGTTGTCTGGGTTGAACCTGTTAGCGATCAGCGCCACATCAGGCACGAAGACCGGCTTTGGCATAAATTTCAGTGCAGCAGCTGGCAGCTCCACAAAGTTGAAGTACTGGGTGTTGTGATCTTCCACTGAGGAGAGGTCGAGCAGTGCCGGCTGGAACCTGCGGGAGCCCAGGTTGGGCAGCATGACTGAGGAGTTGCTGTGAAAGTAGACAAACTCCTCAGCCTCGGTAGAGTAGCAGAGGGACTCAAAGCGGCAGATGCGGTCAGTGTGCATCCTGCCAGTGCACACCATCCTGGTACCGTCCTCCACCAGTGCCTGGAGAGCTGCGTGGTAGTCAATCTGAACCTGAGAGAGTTCCTGAGATTGACGCGTGAGGACCAACTCCTCCTCAACCATGAAGGCATGCTCTCGCAGTTTGATGTATTTCCACAGCACAGCAGCGAGGACAGACACGAGCAGGGCATTAAACACAGCTGCTATGTTCATTCTGTAGTCAGATCCTAGCAAGATGACAGGTGGGGAATGCAATGGAGAGGGAACACATCATTAACACTCCTTGACATGGTGAGGGTGAAGACCTGTGGAAAAGAAAACAAGAAAGGAACCATTTAAACATCAGGTTTACAGCTCCACCATAAATCACATTTTACAAACTATTCAAGAGAGTTTAGGTTTTTTTCAGTAATTTTCCCCCATTCCAGGGAACGAGGGAAAAGAAGAAAAGAGTGTCAAAGCACTACCCAAAACTGTAGAAAAGATAAAGCAATCAGAACTGGGAGCTGCTCTACAGGAAGTCTTCCTTTCTCATTTTCATTTCTACCTTTTTGGAGAAGAAAAATTAAAAGAGTTTGAGGATAAGCTCTACGAAGCTTTGTCAGAAAAAAATGGTATGTTCCCTGGGATTTGGCTCACTGCTTTTTGCAGACCGCTCCAACAGTGAGAAGAAAGAGAGCACTGCAATGACTGGGCCACTGGCACAGGGCTTGGGAGACCTACCTCCTCCTCTTGATCTGCCACAGGCCTTTTGTGTGGCTGTGAGCACCCAACTCTGCCTCTCGCCTTTACCGTGCAGATAATAACAGTACAATGTGTATTGCCAAGTATAGATTTTGCAACACTCCATTCCAATATGAAATGTGAACTGGTGAACACAACATTCAATTTAATTTTGTTTGGGGGTGGGGGAGGACTTGCAGGTCTATGGACTGCCCTGTGGGAGACTCCCAAGTCACTCAGTTGCTTCTTTGGCTGCAATCTGGGATCAAAGGCTAGGAGCTGCCATCGTCTTCCAAAAGAAATACTGGCACGGAGAGGAGAGCCCTGCTCTTTATGCGAGTAACTGATGTTTCATTAAAGCAATCATTTAGTGACAGTCTGACTTGCACCAGCACACCAACCCTTACACAAATGGGAAGGCAATACATTTGAAGTGTTTCAGTGTTGGTGTTTTCCCATCCCAATCTGAGGATCTTTTCTGTGCTGCTCCAAAGCCTCCCTGTTTCTTTTTCTGTTATGGGAGAGATCCTGCCACTGTTTTCTGTCTGTGTACAAACGCTACTGGCTTATATCAGAGTATCGATTGTATTTTCAACTGTGAACTTCAATTGAGATATTGATTCACCTACAGTATTTATGGGCCCCAATTTTCATTATGCATCGAGGTTCGCTGTTAGGTAGGCTGTAAATAATTGCAGCCATGATGCATGGGGAACTGTAGGAACAGAAATTTCTGATTGGTATATACCTGATTAGACTGTTTCTAGATGTAGTTTTTAAAGGTAGCAATTTAAACTCCTTTGATGCAAGTTTGCAGGAAGGAGGAAAAAAGCAATGTCTCAAGGACATGCTCTGACATCCCAAGCAATAGTCCCTTAGCATTTTAACCGAGAGACATATTTAGGACCAATGCAAACACCTCCTCTACCACCAAGGGAGTTCTTTCAAAAAGAGATATTGTAGCCTCAAAGCTCGATCCTGCAATCTGGCTCAAGCAGCTTGGAATTAAATGAAGAATCATTCATGGAATTCAATGAAGTTAGAAGGGATCCTTTCAGCTTGTGAGATCCTAACAGCCTGCAGGCTCCCTGTCTTAGGAAGAACTGAAGGTACGTGGGAGAAATGAGTGCTAGCTGTAAGCCACACAGATTCAAGAGGTGGTCTCTGGGGATCTGAGCAACAAATTCATTTCAATTTCAGAGCATCTCTAGCTACTCAAATGAAACAGAAATGAAGTCCACCTTCTTTGGCAAGTGGTCTGAAAAACTGCCTCATTTAGCAACTCCCTAAAAGCAAGCAGCAAATTAAAAATGTGTTGTTTTGATTTCAACCATGGACAAGGAAATGGGAAGGGACCCAGAGTGGCCATCTAATTACCAGGGCAGGATCAGTTCTCCCTAAACCACTCCCAAAAGATGCTTACCTATCTCATTCTTAATACTCATTCAACTCTTCAGCCATTCTCTAGCAATAAAGGCATGAAGGACTGTAGTAAACTCTTTCCTAACACAGCCTTTGTTGCCACCACAGCAATTTAAACCTGGTCTTGTCCCAGCTGCCACAGATATCTCACACAGATGAATGATGGCTGTCACATCACCTCTCAATCTTTCCTTCTCTATAACAGGGGATGACTGCTGCTCCTGATGGCTTTGCAATTCTCAACCATGGCTGTTCCATGGACAGCTTTGAATGGAAACCTACCAGGGACAGCAGTACACCACCTGGTTAGGCTCTGCTAATGCAACAAAACCAGTTTTCAGCAAAAGAAATTTTTGATGGGGACAGATCTTAAGTTATTTTGTGAGTACCAGACTTCCAAAAGCTTCATTTCGCTTCTTCATTATCTTTGAAAGATGTCTAATGATATCTTCCACATCTCCACATAACCTTTCCCCTACAGACCTCTCATCTTGTGAGCACAGCTTTAAAGGACTTCAGCAGCATCACCAAGGAAAGGACCAAGCCCAAGCAGCCAGGTGCAAAGCCTGCTGGTCAGTACGTGAAGGAAACATTTAACAATCAAGTCCTCTGCCACATGCACACACTTCAAATGAAGGCCAGTCTGCAGGCATCGTGAAAGGCATACTGCAGGTCACAAGAACAAAGCACCCACGAGTTCAATGGAGTCAATGCAAGTTGCAAGAACTTGGCAGAGGCGGAAAACCACATGGCTTATTTATTATTCCAGTACGGCAGGGAGAGTGTGTCTGTGTGGGTGTTTCAAAGGCATCAGAAGCCAGCAGCCCATAAAAACACCACTGATACCACCTGCATTTCACAGGCATCTCAGTGGTGGAGAGCTCTGCCGACCATTACAAACCCCTCGAGCTGAACAGGCCTCCTTGGAAACAGCCTGTTCTAATGTTTCACCCCTGACTGCTTTGTTCTCTACCCTCCATCCCCAAGGGAAGGGCATAAGAGGCACTTCAGAGATGCAGTCTGATGGATGCAGCCAATGTTCGGAGGTTAGCAATTTTAATTTCAGACTCTGCTACAGCAATACCCACTAAATGGCTACAAATGAACAACTTGGCTTTTCAATAAAAATCACCTGCAAGGCCCTCCTCCAGCTCTTCCCTCTGCAGCTCTTTCACTTCCCTGCACTTAGCTGAAGTGAGCGTATGCGCTTTGGCCAACCAAGTGTCAGGAATGAATGTTAAAAGCTAGCAATGCTAAAGGAATCCATCTTCATTCCCAGTTCGTAAATCCTGGTTCATGCTGCTTGGCTGAAAGCTGCTTTTGGTGGAAGCGAACAAGGGAATGTGGACAGGAAGGGGTGTCGCAGGCAGAACTGAAAGGAGAATTTCACAGATACTCGGGTAACTGTCTTAATTCTTTGCCTGTTTTCCCACATTTTATCATCCACTTTTTAAAAAAATCTGATCATTTCAGTGAACACTGATCTTAGAGAACTAAAAACCTTTGGTCCTTCAGGGAGTGACAGAACGTAAATAGTAACAAACCATCCCACTGTTTGCTTTTACATACCCAGGAGAGGCTGCATCAAGAGGGTAAAGGCAAGCAATCACTCTCCATGTCCCCTGGTTCCTCAGCACCCCAAGCTGAGATTGGTCATTAAGTGTTGTCAGCAGCAGTAGTCCTGGGATGGGAAACTTTCCCAGGAGGCAGCAGCTAACTCTGAAATAGGTGAAAGCATTTAGTCTTCCACCTGAAGAGAGCTGCTTCACAATAAAAAAAACTTTCATTACTACATCTCCCTCACAAAATGGGTCTAGAGCTGCCACTCCCCTCCCACGGTGTCATCCGAGAACATCTTAAGAACTGAAAAGCACTTGCAGAAGTGGCAGGCCAGACACACTGCTATTTTCTGTAAAAGCAGTCCCCTCTGTGCTCTCACTTTCTACATATAGGTCAGCATCTAGGCTGTCCACACCCCCAGTTGCCCACAGACTATCTCCTCCCCACCCCTACCACTCATCCACCCTCTCACTTCCCAGTGACACTGGGATAACCACAGCTCTGCTCCACGTGAGCAATGCGTCCCAGTTACCAAGGAAATTGCATGGACTGACTTTTTTTTACTCTCTGCTTTGAAATGCTAAAGCACCATCCTTCAGCAACAGAAGATGCGACAGCTGATAGACTCCAGCCTAGCCAGAAGAGACATGCATGTAAAAGTGGTGCAGAGCTTCTCGCTGCCAAGCTGGCAGAGGGCAACGATGCCCCATGGGAGGGGATGGATCACGCCCTTGAGGACTCCTGACAGGAGCGGGCTGCAGGGGAGAAGCAGGAGTGAGAGCGGGAGACAGAAGCGGCAGATCTCCCTAGCAGCGATGCTGACAGGGCAGCGGGGCAGCTGGCTTACAGCCCCACATGGTCAAAGATGGGGGGCTCAGTAAACACACCTGCACAGGGGCAGCTCAAGGCTTTGCAATGGAAATAAAAGCATGTCCTGAGGCTTGCAGCTCAGCCACAATGGGTGCTGCTCCAGAGGCTAAAAGCCTGCGGGGAGGGACTCTATTTTTGGTCAGCTCATCTTTGCTCTTTTTCCAAAAGAGATCACAGGCATGAAGAGGTTACCCCATTCTCTTCCTCCACCCCCACTCGCTTAGCAAAAGGGTCACATCTTTATCCTTTCAGCCCAACTACTGCTCCTCTAACTAGCACTGACCACTGGTGAGCGGGTAAAGCCTTCCGGAGCACACATGCAGGCCCCCTGGCAGAGACCTTGAGCATCTTGCAGGTCCATACTACTCCCATGGAAGTTTGGATACAGTAGTACTTTCTGCCTGTTAGCTGCTGGTCATCTAATGTTTTAAACATCCCCAGAAGTGGCAAAGCAATAGGAAGCATAGATGGAGACACTGTTCTTCATCTCTTGTTAACACGTTGAAGAGATCAGAGTGGGTGGGATGGGAGAGATGAATTTCTACTAATAGGCAGTTGGCACAAAGGACTGTTTGGATTCATTTAAGAGACGAGCTCTGTTGTTCTTTTTTTAATTGTGAAGCTAGAGTAGGATGAATCACTACTTTAAAGCTATTAATATGACGGACAATGTCTTCTCCATTTTAAAAATTACAATCTAGATAAGAAATTGGGAGAAAAGCTACAAAGCCCACACAATAAAAAACAAAACAAAAGACACATGCACTACTAATACACCCAAAGAAAAAAAACAAGAGCTTGATTAGGGAGAACAAGGGTCACTGGGGTGAACACCTAGTCCTGCAAGTATTCACAAAATGAGAAGTGCTGCTTTTGTCTACTTAGGCCACGCCAAGCTTTTGTTACCAACTGCCCAAGCACTTCCCAAGCAAATGCTCAGTTTTCCAGAGCTACAGCAGGCTAAAAAACCTCACAAAATGGAGAGAAAAGCACCAAGGACACACATTTCCAGAGAGCATCACTATTCTGTGCACAGAGAGAAATGCCTCGACACAGAGGCCAGCTGGGGCTTGGCCCAGCTGACCAGCTCCCGTGCAGAGCCTGCCAGCCGTGGCAGCGGTGTCCAAGCAAAACAGTCTCTGCAGTTCCCAGAACATGGCACAAATGGAAGCGGGCTGGGCTGCTCCTGCCACAGGACAGGGACGGAGTTGGGGCAGAGCCGCATGGGCAGGAGATGGGCAGGGAACCCTGACCCTTCTTGTTACGGCAACACAGCGGGAGGGGTGGGAGCAGAAATTCCTTCCTCGAGGACAATTTCCCCATTAGCACTCCCTACCCCCAGATCGTCTACCTCTTGCTAGACTGGCTTTCCAGGACCAGTACGGGAAAAGAAAAGCATGCAAACATGGCATTTCACACTCCCCCTGCAAAATGTCTTCTGTTCTTTCTCCCATCCCTGATGCAAGAGGCTTAGCTAAGGATGCAGTATATGTAACACATGCAGTTTTAAATACCTACTTCATTCATGTTCAAAGCAGAAGTTGCTAGAAGGCAACTTTCCCGATTGGAAGGAGGGGGAGTTAGGACTCAGCAGCCAAGAACTGACTTTTATTCTCATTTCTGTCACAGATTCCCACAGAACTACAAGCAAGTCAATCCCCACAGCCCAAAAGGCTGTTATCATCTTATTCACTGCATTTATTTAATGAGATACATATATCTTTCACAGAAAAGAAAGGATGGTACACTGAATGATTGATATACTGGAACATTTTCTTTGCAAAAAGCAGTCAAGTGTAGAAGTGCTGACTTTTTAAACAGGAAAAGAGCAGACTCTAGAAGGGAGCAAACCCAGCAGTTAAAGATACAAATATCATTAATGAAGCCTGATACAAAGAGGGGGTATGAAAAATAAGAATAACTTAACTCTGTAGCCTCAAGTAGAATTAAAAAAATAGAACTTAATTCAGAAAAAATAAAATCAAAAAATAACAATGTTTTTTAAAAAACAACTCTCAAAAACCTTAGGTATCTATAGACAGTTGTGATCAAAATTAGGTTTATCTTCAATTTTTACAGTTTAGCATAAGTGAGGAATAGAAAGCAAAACTGTAAATCTTTCTGTACAAGACTGCAACAAAGGTGACTAAGGCTCTGTGCAATGGTCCCTACTGCAAACACCTTCAATATTAACAGGAGAATATTGGTGGCTACTGAACACCTACCAGTTGTGCTTATGGATAGAAAAATCTAACTTCTCTTCCATTTAATTTCAGAGTCTGAGAGCTGCGATAGGAAGAGATCCAACCTGACTTTCACGTTGACTAGCAGCCATTGATTTAATATTTGTTGATACTGCTGTCTTGATCTACAAAAGAACAGGTAAAAAAAAAAAATTCCAACACTAAGCAGTCAATGCATATAAGCAAGCCACGAAAGTGAGCTAGAAGTATGAAACTAAAAAGAATACTTCTTGGGCTTTTAAGGTCCACATATCCAAGATCTCTTCTTCATCCAGAATCACATGGAGAATGAAATTCTTTCCCCTAACAAAAACTAACCCTGATCTCCAGAAAATTCCCTAGATAAGATGCATTTCTGATAAACAAACTTCAGGTAGGAGATGTAAGAAAAATGAGCTAAAAAAAAGAAAAAGAAAAAAAAGTATTTCTCTCAGCCTTTACCTTCTGACTGAAAGATGAAAACCCAAAGTACTCAAAATAACCACGGCTAGACAGAGGGGGAAGCTTAACAGCCAGAGTTCATTCCAGCCGACCTTTGTTCACACAAGTATCCCATCGAAATCTGCCACGTTATATTGACATTAACAGCACTGTCATATGAGTAAAAAACCCTCTCCTTTTGCCTGGTCTCTTGCCTTTAGTCTATAAGCAGGATAGCTTTGTCAGAAACAAAAACATGTCAGAGTAGCAGGTTCACCTTACTTCAGTAGTCTACCTAAAGCAAAAGACAGAGTGGGGGTGGCTGAAGGGAAAATTTACTAATGCTGCAAAAGTGGATTTAAAAGAATATGATGTGAAATCCCAAAGTACTGAACAAGATGAGCTTCAGTCACTCCAAGTATGCCTTTGGGCTTTAACTGCCATTTGTTATTCTCTGTATTTTATCCATCCTTTCTTTCTCTAGTCTCAGATGGGAGAGTACCTGTGTTCTTTGGATACTGGGACAGACTGGTGCTTAGCAGCATTTACAACCTGAGCTCTCCCCATTTCCCATCAGCATGGTGCCTGAGACTGCTCCTGTGTGCTGCAAATTCTAAGCAGGAGTCAAAATTGTTTGGAGCACAGCACAGCCAGTAAGAACAGCAAAAATCCCTCCTTGGTTACCACAAGCTCTACATTAGCATGTTTTTAGGGGAGGGTAAAAAAAAAAAAAAAAAGTAATCCCAAAGCAGCACCTGTCCAGTAAGAAAAATTTCTGAAAACCTACAGAATTTAGTACAAATCAAAGACATTTTCCCCATGAGACTTTTGTTTAAAAATGATGAAACAAACCACCAGTCAAAGAAAGAGGGACTACAAAGACCTGGGATTACAAATGAACTACTGACCTCCTTCCTGCACATGCACAGCCATCAAGGAGAGATTCAGCGTGAAGCTGCTGGGGGGAGCAAG